AAAGGTTGAAAATGAAAAGAAAAAAATTCAAAGCACAAAAGCAGGTGTAAACTCGAAGAGCTGTTGAGGCATGTGAATATATACAGGTATTACGTTATACGTACATGTGTCTACGGTTGCGTCGACTTAGCTTGAGGCTTTCACAAAAGTGCTAGACGACAGTTTCACTTTCATTTTTTGCCGACAAAAGCGACAATAGCAAATAACAATGTTTGTCGACGGAGGAAGAGGGTAGATAAAATTTTAGAARGCTTACAAGCAAAACTTGGAAATGACAATGCACTACAGTGTATCAMAGTATCAATTTTGGTTAAACTTGTGGTATTTATTTTTTCAAGAAAAGTTAGAACATTACAAAATGTTGCATCTTGGGAAACGGAAACTATTTTTCTTCCTAAAATTTGCTTATAATGCCTGCAGTCTGCTTCGATATGCAACTTCTCTCTGATTCCATATTTCCYATTTGGTTATGCTGGTCTATGCGATTTATAATGAATTTGCTCTCTAACTCACTCGCGGTGTGACATTATGTGACATAATACTAGTCTAACCACTGTACAATTATATGTATTTTCATTTCAGTTAAATAYGGAATATAATTCTATGTATAGCCTCTTATTTCGCTTGGAGTTGTGGAGCTGATCTTGGTAACTTCATTTACTACTTTAGCAGTTAGTCACTAGTGGCTATATAAATGTTTTCAGTATAATAAACAACTTTTATTTTCATTCATAAACTTTTGGTACTCTCACAATTTTCTAAAAGCTAAAAATCCATTTTACTTATGCTTCACTGAATCAACTTCTCGCCTTGAATCAATTTCTATAAAATGTTGAATACGGTTTCCGACAACTTATTACTCTGTGGCGCTTTAAGSTATGAACAAAAATATTTAATTTCTACACCACTTTAAAGTTTCATAATTCAATTATTGGTGACTGAGGTGTGTGACTCGACTAAAATATTAATATATCGCCAAAATGTAGGCCACAATTTAGTGCAATTATTGCCCACACTTAGTAAAATACTTAAGGGGGGAGCCTGGTTTGGAGGCTTCAAAGAAGAAATTCATATTTTTTAATAATTTATCTTCTAGTTGAACTAAAAAATTCCAAAGAAAAACTGTAACATTTTAGAAATTTTTAAGAATTAAAAAAAGTGGTTTTTGACCAAAAAAATTRTACTTTATGTTGTTTAAAAATATGTTGAAACTTGACATTTCTTAGTTTTAGTTTAACTAGAAGATAATTCTTAGATTATTTTTAAAGAGATTTAAGCAAAAACAAAAAAATAGATTTTTTATGGCTTCTAAATCAGGCTCCCCCCTTATTGGTATTTTTTATCTGAAATAATTTATTTACCTAATTCTTACTTACTTTATACACACTGTACAACAAGTAGAGTCCCACAATGTAGCGTTCAAACTTGATAACATTGTGTTGCCTTGCCTACTTCGTGTGTGCAATTACTAAGTAAAAGCCGCATTCCTTTGAATCAACTGATACGCCTTTATGCCCCCACTTTTTCTTAATGACAGCGATATTATGGGTATTAATGGTAGAAATCTCTTCTTCGATGCGCAYACACGGCTAATGAACAGCCAGCTAGTCAATTTGTCGAGTCGAAGGTTGCCAGCAGAGCAAGGTGCTATGAGAATGTTGATACGAGTATATACATACATATTTATATATAAGCACACATATTACTGGCATGGAAATTACGCATCGCTTCACTTCCGCATAATTTCATTTATGAATTCCCTCAGATACCAGCAGATGGCGGCTGGCGATAAGGTGAAGGTAAAKAATATTTAAGGTAAATCAGCTTAAAGGCATATCCGAAGTACTTGATTGGCTTACTGGCTTACTTTGCTCGAAGGCAGGCAACTGTGAGTCGATGGGTTTCTGCTGCTCGTGGGCGATAATTATCTTCGACTGYGCTTAAATTAATTTTTTTGGTATATTCAGTTTGTGGCGAGAAACTCAAGACGCTTAAGGCGAGAATTAAATTAGATAAAGGTAGTAGGAGGAGAGCCTGCTTTAATTGCAATTTACGAATTTGATTTTAGAACGGAAATTTTGATTATTTAARTGACAATTTTTGTATGTTTGAAAATTCATTAAATATAGACTCTTGAAGGATTTTTTTCAGGATACGATGATAGGATTTGAAAAAAACTGCTTTATGAAAATATATATGTAAATATAAATCATGCAACGCAATSTGCATCAATAATAATCTCACCTGCTTGCTACCCGCACGAAAGCAATTAATAGCAGTTAGCGTCAATCATGTAAACAGCTACCAGAATTTGTGTTTCCGTGACATGTACGGAAATAGAAATGGCTGAAAACCCTCTCGCGGGCAAAGCATAACTATTTTTTTTTGCTTTCAAATTCTAAAAAATTAAAAAAGAACGACTAGCCAACTACCTCAACATGACAACCGTTTAACTGATACTTTTTTAGATTTTTAAACGATAACGACCGTGGGGCGTTAGCCTCGTTATGRGGCGCGCGGTGACAATATACATGTTGCAACATTGGGTACATATTGTAGACAGTCTTTTCTGAGTGGCTTTTTTGTTGTCGCCCTYTATATATCCTTTCGACTGATTTTGAAAATATTTATGCTCACAACTGTGTGCTTTGGCTTTTATGTCATAAAAGCTGTGTTACATGCAAGCAAAACAGCGCTACTGTTACAGCAAAAGGGACGTTATTGTGTATTTTCAACAAAGGAAACAAATATTTCGTGTGTCCAAACACACACATACACATGTGTGAAATGCTACAWCTTGCAGTAGGCGCATAATTTATGGCGCTCATAAGTGTTGCGAATGTAAAGTTATTTATTTACGTATTACCTTTCAGTTCCGGGCCGAATGTTACATTTTGTATGACGTTTAAAGTAATAGAATTAGCCTGTTTATATTTCACCCGAAAAGTGTGAACAATAACATAATATGCTTTCTGAGATAAGTTAACCAAATATAAAATTCTTTTTTGCTAAACAAACATTTATTTTTATTTAAAGAAAATTGACTGCTTTTTAGGTTGACTGCTGCGTATGCGTAATATTTTTTATGTGTAAAGTATTTTGAGTTTTTTTTTAAAGCACTTACGTGTATTCTAAAYTGTTTTTTACTTGTATATTTGAACTAAGGCTCTAAGGTGACTAATGAGTATAAATCAATGAAGCTTTTAGAACCCAACACCGGGCTGGACAAACGTACTGTAAGACCTTAAAATCTCAGCTTATTCAGCTTATCACTTATTATAGTGACGGTTCAATATTACGATACCATTTTTATTGTATCATTTGGGCTTTGCTCCAATTTAGGCTTCAGTTTCGGCGATCATCTCTTCATTCGACAAAAATTTCTTCCTAGCGAGCATTTTTTTCAGATATAAGAAAATGAAATAGTCRCTGAGGAGCTAGATATGAAGAATACGGTTGATTCGGAGGCATCCCAAAATACAGACGCCATAACCTTGCCACMAAATCTTGCATTTTTTCATGCTTTGGAGTGRGTTTATCGTRTGCAGTTCACTCGGATGACTGTCGATTGGAATTTTAAGAAAAATGATGGAACTATGTTTCGTCCATTGTCRCATGATCATGTTTCAAGTCGTTTCAACTTGCAGAAGTCCAGACAGTAAACCCAATTTCCGACGGTTTTCAAGCATAAATCGGCTGCCGATACAAAATATTCATTGGATAACTTGTCTTCGAGAAAGCACTGTTTAATGACTTAATCGTGCCTGAATTGGAGGAAGTTGATGAAGACGACAACAAACAGCTCTAGATGTCATACTGCCAAAGCAACAATTAATTTATTGAAGGGGTTAGGGGTAGTCAGAATTTTCAAAGAAATTTTTTTTTGCATTTTCGTTAAATGTAATATCTTACAAATATTCTCTGAAAATTTCACGATAATTGGAAATTCCAAGTGTAGCCAGGTCCATCTCCACCTGGTCGGTCCAGCGGAGTGGGAATCTTGCCCTTTTTCTTCTTCCCCACCCCTTCTGCGACGAATACTTTCAGGACTGGAGTCTTATCATCCATTTGAACGACGACCTAGCCAGCCGTTGTCCTTTTATTCGCTGAACTATGTCAATGTTGTCGAATAACTCATACAGTTCGTCGTTCCATCGAATGCGATATTCGCCGTTGCTAATGCGCAAAGAACCATAAATCTTCCGCAGAACTTTTCTCTGGAAAAMTTGTAACTMSGACTCATCAAGTGTTGTCGCCGCTCATGCCTCTGCTCAATATAGCAGGACGTGTTCGTCGAGAGAGGACTTTACTTCTTAATTGCCTACTGTCCGAATTAGCACCTYTTGGCAAGGGTTATTCTGCGTTGGATTTAGACATGGTTGTTGGTGTTAGCATTGGTTCTAAGATAGACGAAATTATCTAAGACATCGATGTTATGACTGTCAACAGTGATGTGGAAGAAAAGTTGCGAGTGCGACGACTATTTGTTTGATGACCAGAGATTTTACGTCTTGCCCTTTTTCCCTAACGGTGCGGTTGTTRTGGCCAATGATATCGATGTCATCGGCGGTACATCAGCAGTTGTACACTTTTGTCGAAAATTGTTCCTTCGCTTTTCAGACCTGCAGCTCGAATTATTTTCTTCAGGAGAAGATTGAAGAAGTCGCACGATGCGGAGTCGCCTTGCCCGAAACCTCGTTTGGTATCTAACGGCCCGGACAGGGCCTTACTTTTAGGCAGTCTCTGGCTAAATCTGTATAAGCCAAGTTGGATGCAAGGGTGGAGAAGGTCTTAGAAAATAATAAGCCGGGGTATTCCTATMGTGGCTGAATAAAAGATCTTTTCATTATGTAGATTCAGCTGTCCTGCGTACGAAATCCCAAAACTATATTAGCAAAATATGTAAATTTAATATTATTTCTTGCACCATTTGCTTACTAAAGTTTATTATTCTCAAGACAGCATAAATAACTTCAACATTCCAATTTAATTTCTTGCAGCATTTGGGCGTGACTCGCAGGCATTTCAACGTCTCAGCACTCAACASGACAGAMAAGTAAGKGCCGCAAGGACTGCCGCGTGTGGAAATCGTATTTAATAAAACACTTTTGTGTGCTCAATTTGCCAACTTCCTGGTGTATCCGAARCGTTGAACAACGGTACAAGCGYTCGCGCCTATTAAGGMACTTGGCTTTGGTAAGAGTAGAGTTGAACACCTGCGGACCGCGAGACAGTTGAGCGCACGTGTGCAAAGCGTCTCGAACTGAACAGCGCAGCACTGTTCGGTTAACTCACAGTTTTCTGTCAATATTAGCGCTATAGCAACTGCTGGGTGTGGGCGATACTGCGCCCCGCCACCGGTAAGCCTTAAACCAATATTTATTCACACACGTACACGCACACGYATAYACTCACACACAACTGTACATCTTCTGCATATATCTCTATGTGTATGTAAATTCATATATTCATACGCACTTGCACAATCACCTTTTCACSTTTCACCGACCATTTGCACTTGCACATCAACGCTTGCACGWGGTCAACCATCAGCTGCAGAGTTCTTTCTCGTAATTTTTTGTTGGCTTTATTGTTTTTGTGCGTGCATTTTTTCATTTATTTGTTTCTGTTTTTGTTTTCGTTGATTTTCGATTTAATAAGTTGTATTATTTATATAGTTAACTTTGGGTTCATATGCGTGAAAAGTAAAGTATTATATTCGGGTAAACGCTGTGAGCAAGAGTCGAGGGCCTTGCTTCCGTTCCCATGACAGTTGGCGCTACGTAACTGACCCGGATTTTATAACCGGCCTTGGACTGTCAACTCGGCAGAGTACTGCCGCTACAACAACAACAGGGCTTTACGTCTTGATTGCTTTTATCGCCGTATTAGAAAATATTTTTGTCACTAGCCGTAACTGAGTTCSAACCCAGGTCTTGAAAAGTGGTAATGCGTACCTCCAACACACGTCGACTTCTGATAGTTACAATTTAAAACGCTGTTACTTTTGTTTTTCATGAAAACACAGAACTGGACCCGAGCTGTAACTAAAGCGACATATATTATTCCGAAGGCAATAGCTTGAGACCGATCATGAATCGGCTTTTCGTCGTTTTATAACCTAAGTATTTGGATTGGGTAATCTTCCAGCCAGATTTTTGGGTGAGGAATGTTTTCGACTCTCGTGGTGGCCGATGGTCTAACCTTATTTAGTGTCTTTTTAATAGTTAGTTATCCAGTTAAGTTCCTAGTCTAGGGTCGAGTACGAAGAAAATTCATTAACTTGACATCACAAATGCTTCGAAGCAGATTTATTGAAATCTTTTAATTGAGGCTATGCCAGCTAATGTAAATTGTATGGAAGCAGCTCGTAGGTCCGCCATCATTATATGGAAAAGGTTCTACTGAGTTACAGAAAGATTAATACAGCATGGATCGAACCAGATTGCTCAGATTAGTGCGAGTATGAACTTCTAAGCAAATAAGATTCTGAAAAAATTTCAAGCAAAAGCACCCAAGTTTATAATCTATGCCTTTGGCATAGAGATGTATTCAAGGGTTTTTATCCTGCGCTCACAGACTGCTGTGCAGTCAGTCAGCAGGTATTCTGAAGTTTCAGACCTCAAGTTGCAGAAATACGCCTATGAAGCGAGGCCTATGTTATATATGTAAGTGCTTTTTGAACTTGCCATGGCCAGTATAGAAGGCGAAAAGTAACCTGAGTTTTTTCCTTAGGAGCTTGATTAAATAWTGAAACCTTTTAAGTTGGTAACCACCCATTAGCAACTTGGCATGGCACATATCTAGGAGTTCTTGCCAATGCTTCTCCCTACCCACCTCTTTATCTTTGTAGAGCAGCTCCTTTATGATACGTTGACCATCCGCAATGAAATGTTCCCGTACTACCATGTCGGTGGAGCAGGCAGGCTCATCAGCCAGTTCAATCACGGCAATAACTTTGTGACCTGGCACCCAAATAAKGTGCACTTGGCTACGTTAGACTATTCAGTCGTTCTATACATTCCTGCATTCTATTCAGCCTTACTACCGAGGGTAACTTTAAACTTCCTAGTGAAGTTAACCCTTTAGGTAATGTTATCCCTTGGGAGAAGTTTCAGAAGAATTTCACCACTTAGGTTAATTATGTGTAGGGAAGAGATTACTCTATCTCTACCAAACTCTTCTGCTGGCGTTTGGAGCAGTGTGTATTTGAGAACTTGACCGATTACTGGGTAAAGCGGTGTGAATTTCAGGAAGACTTCAAGTGCCACCGTCGGACATGTGCGCATGGCGAAATCAGCTAAGCTTGAAGTAAATTTTGCTAGAATATGTATGCACCATACAGYTCTTCTTTATAACACTCAACGGGGTAGTGTTAACAACTATGGATGCTGCAAAGTATCTGATCAGGCGACAGAACAATTTTTTTTGAGAAATATTGCCGAAATACCGGAAAAAATTCATGAATCTATATTCCATTATCTTGCCTGCCATTTTGTAAAAGARTGGATAAACTTTCCTGTTACTCCTTCCTTTTGAATGTAATTTCGAAGAAATATTTTAAAAGGTCGCCACTTTTTGCTGCGGCAATATATTTTCCGCCTAAATGTATACTCAAAGAAAATTGATTTTCCATTTCATGCAGCAAAAATACAAACAATAAACATACATATATACGGTTATTTATTACGATGCCGAGAGACATTTGCGCATTTCAGTCACGTCAAACATACTGCCGCCTGACTAACAAGGCCCAACGCCTGCCGCTCAAGAAAGACAGGCAACAGCCACAAGAATGCTTAATGTTGTAAAACATTATAAGTGTGAGGGGCAGATTTCTGTCTAAGTATGTGTGTACATTTTTATCTAAGTATGTATATACTCTTACTTGTGGCGGGCTTGTCGTTGATACTATAATTGATGCGCTGCTGTCAGCCTAGCGGTTTTTTAACGCCATCAAWGACCTAGTGTCTATAAACGTAGAAGACAAAACTGAACTGAACCGAAAACATTTTCTTCTATTTCTTGGCTGCAACAAAAATGTTGATTGTTCTTGCAGAATATTGATGCTGTTGCTCAATCGTTACACGCGCCATTGGCTCAATTGTGTGATGATTGCGTATCGTACTAGGCTTGTGGAAATGTTGCAGGCACGCAGTTCTCTTTGTAAAATGAAGTTCTAGCAATAGTTTCTGAAGGCAGCGATTTCGCACGCATCAAAGTTAAAAGGTGCAATTATTTATTATTACTTATAACGTTTTATATCGATAATTTTTCCACTGATTTCTCCAACTTTTGATTACTTATGTACGTGTGTTGCCTGCAAATCTTGCGTTTTGCTTTTATTTCTGCTTTTCACTTTAGCATTTTTTCTGTGCAAGCGCTCATTAAGCACTCTGCGTCATTTATTATGGTGTAAAAATATTATTTTTATGTCTGRAAGCATTCATTTTTGTTATAATCGCATTAATTTGCTGCACTTTGTGAGAGCATGCACATTTATGTTTACTTATTTACTTTTATGCAAAGTAGCAGTGATGCAAGCAAATTTCGATAACAACGTCACAGAAAAGGTAAAATTAACAATAAAAAAAAAGTATATTGAAAAGGTAGTTTGCGTCAATTTTCATCCCCATAMGTTTCATGAAAATCCCCCACTTTCACTTTCACTTCAATCTCAAGTACATCTCTTTCTCTCTTTCCCTCACTCATTCTCTTTGTATTTTATGTGTAACGTTCATTTTCGTAACTCTGTCCTATTTATATATAAATACAATTATTATGTAATTAAAATTTTGCCAAGAAATTTACTAATCCAATTTTKAAGGCATATGAAATTTTAGAAGGCTAAAATGAAAGCGTTGCTTCAAAATAGCTGCCATAAGCAACTCGCTTTTTACGATTTTTACCATCTTTCAGCGTGAAGATTTCATTTGAAGTGAAAGATTTTTAGTATTTATAGACTARCTAGACAATTATCCGTAGATAGGCATATAAGTAGGTTGAAAATTTATATAAAAGTTGCAAATTTAAGAAATTCCAAAAAAAGTTTGCGTAAGCTGATTAATTGTGTGTCAGTGTTAAGACAGTTTTCATCCATATTTTTATATAATTTTTTTTTTTTTTGCGAAGTGTTTAATACTTATAAAATAGAGGATATTCAGGTCGCAAGCACTGCAGCAGTGCAGCAAAGCATCATATGCCAAGTAGAAATGTTGCGGTATAATTATCAGTAAAGTGTCTGCAGAAAAACAACAGTATTGCCATGCAGTCACTTGYTTGCTCGAACTTCTCCCCTAGGAAATTTTTTTCTCATTCCGTGAACATTGTTCAATGTTCATCATACGCAGTGTCACACTATTAATGTGAAAGCAATTATTTTTGCCTTTTAACAAATTTTATTGATTACATTTTCCAAAATAACAAAAGAACCATATTTTTTCAACACTATGAGGCTTCTAATAGGCCTATTGTGACCTCCCTTATATCACATATGGCCACAAAGGTTCAGCATCTTGCACATCTCCAGGTGCTTGCTGGGCGCGATTGAGGTGATGTGAACCCTGTCCACGTATATGAATTGACCTGATTCTGGATAGCCCACCAGACTCAAGGCCATAGTCCAGAATCAGGTGTTCTGGAGTTTCCTGTTCCATGTCGCAGAATCAGTAGTTCATGCAAGAGACTGTGTCTATGTTGGACAAGTGTTTCATGAGCTTGCAGTGCTCTGTATAGTACGCAACAAGGAGAAGATACTTTTTTATTATTTCCTTAAATCTTGCAAGGTTGTACCCTCCCAGAATCAGCTTGCCATAGCGAATTTCTGCTTTTTGCTGTTCTCTCTCCACTCTCTCCTCCATGCGCAGCAGCTCCTTTATAGTGTGGGGTTCCACTGGAACGCATGGTTCCAAGGTGGTTCAGCCTCTCTATACWCTAATTMACTAAAAGCGCCTTACTGCCGCGAATAATGCTGAAATTCGTAAAGCCTTGGAAGAARGGAACTTCAAGTGCAGGAGTCGGGCAAGTGCGCATGGCGCCTGAAGCGCAGACACAGGTGAGCCCTTGCAGTTTCGATAGTTGAAGATTCTGTTGCCTTACATGCCCAAGCAGCCGCTCTATAAGTGACAATAGGTTTGTACGATAGTACACAGTCATCTTATGATACCTGGCTTACAGCTCCAGCAACAGTCGTCAAGTCGTCTGCATATCACTAGTGTCTAGGTAGTTTTGGACAGTGCTAAATCCACATGCGTAGTCTACCGTCTCTTCAGTTACCTTCAATCCCTGCCACCGAGTGTTAGGGGCCTCAAGCCCGGAAGGGATCTGCGTTTCATAAAAGGGACAACGGTTGTTTTTGACAGATGTTACTCTCTCCTGCAGTGGTTTCAGCCATCCTAGTAAAGCCTCTATCAATTTCATACTGGAGCCGTCACATTTCCATTCTCCAGTGCCTTGATAACACTTGCGTGTAACGCATTAGCAAAAGCGAATTCAGAAGTTAAGCTGTGAGTTGGTGGGGGCAGTGTTAGTGGCTCTGCCTGCTCTGTACGCTTGCTGACTGGTATTTTGGGGTGCGATTTTCCGTGCCTTCAATCTTATAAGGTTATCCATAATTTTGTCAATTCCTTTTAAAAATAGGAAACTAAAAACTGAGGTCCTTCCTATTAGTATTAGGTGTTCAAACTTGGGAGAAAATTTTGGAGGTTTCTGTTAACTAATAGAATAAATAGAGTAACAAAGTATGCGCTATCCTTGCCTCGCACCATCCATACATATTTCTCTGTGGGAGAGCACCTAGTGTTCAGATCTTCACATATATGTTCACCCGGTAATATGAAGTCTACAAATTTACTTCGGTCAATGAAAAATTTTCTTCTAGTTAATATCTACATGAAAATACGTCCTTGCACTTCTTATAATTTTATAATTTTTGAGCAAACTGACGGCAAACCTAAGAGAGGTTTTGCAAAGGAGTTAATATTTACTCATTAACTTTAATGTGAATAACTAAAAGAGTCATAAAATCTCAGCCAACTATATTAAAACCACACAAAGTCAGCTTGCAACCATTGTATGTAGTAGTGGGGTGCATTTAGCACATTAAATAATGAAATTTAATTTGAATTAAGGTAATACAATGTAGCATAACAGTACATACTTGTAAGCATTAGCTTCCGTTTAATAAACCAGGCAAAATACACAATATACATATATAGTATGTAGCTATAGCTAGGTAGTACATACATATAACAGAACAGTGGCATATTTGATACAGTTAATTTCGGTTTGTGCGCAGATTACCACACATAAATTGCTCGGTAGGCATATAAGTTATGCTTACCAGATATATACCAAATATATAACCGTTACCACAACTATAAATAGTAAATTTATTGCACCTAAGATAAATTAGTTAATAATTTTGAATTCTRTGTCTACCAAATGTTTGTGTTTTGTGCAAAAGACTATCATTTATTTTATTTTCATATAAAGAATGCAATGAAACACAGCTTTTTGTGCTTTTGTAGACGAATTTGCCGTGTCTTGCTTACACTTTTTGTCAAAAGAGCTTTTTATGTTCAGAACATTAACTGTTTTTTTTTCAAATTTAATCAGTTCGAATGTGTAATAGAAGAAAAATATCACAAATTATATATGCGAGCTATAGCCGTAGAATAACAGAAGCAGCACCACTAAGAATACCAGAGTAAATTGAAAATTTTATCTTTCTGCTTTACATGCGTTCCYCTTTTTGGCGTTAATGCGCTGCAGGAGCCTAAAACCAGCACCCTGAATTTCTCATCGTTCAAATCAAGCTTTACTTCCAATGTTAATTTCCTGAAGAGAAGGTAAAAGCCTTAAAAATCCAAGCAGACGCGCTCAGGCCGTCTGCAGCAGCAGCGATTAGCACTAATTCAAAATTTCATATGTTCTCTCCATTTTCTTCTTTCATGCCGTTTTTATAACTGTTTTCTTTATTAAATCGCTAAAACCGATATTTGAAAACAAAAAAATAACTCAAACAACGCTATGTAAATACTTGCAATTCCACMAACAATACTCACACACACATAACCACACTCGAACTCACACACACACACMTCCAAAACCGAAATATTTTGCCAAAAAACAAAAACAGATTTAGCTCGGGAGACCTCTCTTCCGAGCACGACGATGTCGATCCCAGTCAACTGCCGCCTGCTGCGCGGCCAATTCAGGATCAGCCCACGAAGCCGCCAATCAGTAGTGGTGGTCCACCGGTCATGCCACCGCCGCCAGCACCGGGTGTTCCGCCTGCCGGTGGCGCTGCTGGTGCCCCCGGCGGTCCGGAGTTGTCGYTGAGTTTCGGTGGTGGCAAGGCAGCGGCACCAGCACCGCCGCGCGGCGTCAGCGCTCCAACCAGCCCAGCGAAGTCGCGTGAGAGTTTGCTGCAACGTGTGCAGAGTTTGACGGGAGCAGCGCGTGATCAAGGCGCTTCCATTTTGGGTAAATTMATTTTTGTAAATTATTTTAATARCACGTTATATTATATYGATGTCCTAKGTGATYGATGAGCGCAASAGTTAATCGGCCAATTACTGTWACCTTAAASATTTTGACGTAGTTCAATCCGTCCCTTTTTTGTGTCAGTTCGTAACTGTACTGCTTCTTTATTTCATCTTTTCCACCACCAACTTTTAGTGTATAGGAAACCTTTAKACATGGAGATTCGTATTTCATTCGAAGTACATGCTTGAGTCATCCTAACTTTTACGATTTCCGTTCACCTTTGACGGTATCCTGMGTTGCTTGTTTCAAGGTGGATATACCATACCTGACTGKTTATTGGATGAACGGAACTCTTYTGTTTTGTYCTTATTCCAYATCTGTTGATTATTCATTATTATTGCTATTATTTACGGAAATGCTACTTAAACACTTTAGTTCAGCTTTTCAGATTATTTTCATTCATTACATGAGTGAGTCTTTCCTTGTCATCAGCGTTGCAATTTCCTGCGATTYCGCTATGTCCTGGCACCCATACCAGTCTTATTACAATTACAATCGATGCTAATGATAGTGCTTGGAAGACACTGCAATATCCAGAAAATCTGAAGTTGCAGTTGATAGAGAGCTTCTGGCAATAGACCTCTTTAGAAACCTTCCCCCCAAGCTTTGATTCATTCTTAAAAAAGTTCACTGCCCCTCTCCTCCAACGGGTTCCTAACACTCTCTTGTCGGTTTTCAAGAGCACCACATAAAGGCTTCGTCGAATATACTAGGTTTGACTATGATGTCGTGAGCTCTGAATATTTCACCGCATCCGCCGGTTGCAGACGGATGTCTCCCATTTGCGGAGGCGGAGCCTTATTAACGAGAGGTGATAGAACTCCACCTTTTGGGGTAACCCTACTCACATTTCCTTGAGCACGAGCGTTGCTACATTTCGTCGCACAGAAGACTGAGAATGAGGTGTTTGAGGTTTAAATCAACCCGAAGTTGCTTCTGGCAGGACGTTTTTATAAGCTTCCTCAATAGCAAGGAAGGTCTCAACAGCGAATTCCTAAATCTTAATTGCTTACTAAAGGCATGACACTATAGTATGCAGTACAGTATCCACTGACTTGCCTTTACAATTGCTCGGGAAGTTAGCATCAAGGAGCAACCGAAGCGTATGTTCACAGCACTTCCCAATTGTGTTCTTACTTACGACTCCAAGTCGCTAGAGAAATGGATAAAAGATAATGTGTGCGAGGATTTCCGAGTGTTCAGTCTCTTACCAAACTAGAAACCCAGATTTTCTGGGTCTTACAGCAACTTTCGTGGCCATAGACTTTCCAGGCATAATGTGCTTTATCTTGGAGGCCACGCCACAGGCCCAAGGTAATTCGCTCACCAAAATAATTTATTGTTTCGTTGGTTATATGGCACGTAATGCCACGCAAGTCTTGTTGGAACAGAAGGTCGCTTACATCGACATCCTCTAATTGAGTCACGTAAAAGTAATTAATCAAGACTCAATAGCATGATCCACTGACAGTCACTCAACGACGCGCTTGACGATAATTCGGATTTTTAAACTAAACTCCAGCTCCAATTGTTCTGCGCGATTCGGGTCAATAAGGCATATCAGATTATGCACTTTATCCACTAGGGAAAACCAAGTAATAATCACTCTTGATAGGTTGTGCACTGGATTTAATATTCTGTCAAAAGTTACAATTGAAAAAAAAAAACCATGTCCGAACAAAAAAAAAACATGTTAATAAGTCTCACAACATTTCAAAAATATGGTTATAAATGTAAAATAAATTTAATAAATAATATTCATTGACAAACTTATCTCCTAAATTCATATTATCTATAACTAATTCGTCGTAAGCTCTTTAACAGCTTGCTCTCTTATATTTTCATATTAACTGGCAACTACTCTTACTCAATCCAATTAAATAGTTTCCTAACTGTTAATAAAATTAGCTACTTTTCGCGCATATCCGCGCTCATTTACTTTTTGTTGTGACAACATGAAAATGTCAAAACTTTTGCGCTCATTAAAAGTTCGTAATCCTATAAAACGCACAAAATTTGTTGCATAAATTTAAGAACACCGGTGTAACCAACAAGCAACCACTACCTTAATCACTACTAATGAAGTCTCATTAAAAATGCATATGTAAATATAGGTGCGGCGGTGCAGAGTGCCACACGAGCGCCAACCTTCAACAAGGACAAGTACTTCACGTTGCTCGTACTCGACGACCAAAACACCGACTGGTCGAAGTACTTCCGCGGCAAGCGGCTACATGGCGATTTCGATATACGCGTAGAGCAGGCTGAGTTCCGGGTGAGTATAAGTTGCAACAAGCGCGTGGCGACCGAGAAATTTTTAAAATGTCTGYTGCAACCGAAAGTGTGYGGCTCGTGCGTCATGCTGCAGCTTAGCTGGCCTACAGCAAACATGCGCCCACTGTTGGGCAATTGTTTAGCCATTCTCTCACTTAAATTCAATTTTTTGTTTTTGTTTTACAAATTTGGCTTTGTTGGCACTTTCACCTTTGACCTTGCGCGCTAAATATTTAACGATTAGTTGTGAGTATGTGTGCGCCGGACTAATTGCGCTTTCACACCTCAATTCTCCACGCGTTTGCCACTTGCAACGACATTCCAACCGCCGTTACCRCAGCTTACTGCCTCACATATTATATAATTTAACGTTTTGGTATGTATRTGTGTGTGTTTATTTGCAGGATATTTCGCTTACTGCCAGCGCCGAAACTGGACCCATTATTTCCATGGCTGTCTACCGTGGCGGCACCAGGGTGAGTAACTGAACTATAAACTTTGATTTAAACCGTTATGCCTCTTATCCACGCATGCAACATATGAGCAGGCATCCATGAAAGTACCGTATATACATAGGTGTGTAGGAGTGTATGTGTGTGTGGAAATTCCGCGCTCGCATTTTAATTGCTCCCTGTTGACCAAGCTGAGTAAATGTTGGCCCATCGTTCAAGTTATGCACAGGCATATATGTTATATCGCTACATACATACATATGTATGTCCATTACATTTTAACTTGTTCGTATAGCTCGACCACTCAGCCTAGTCTGGGCCTTTGTGAACTTTKTTTGCTCTTTGACTTTAGTTTCATTATGAAGCTCACAGTTGGAGCGAARCCACTCAAGCGCATTTATTTCCATTTTCCATGAGTCACTATAAATTTTATATGTTTACATTAAGGCGAGTAYGAATTTTAACAACTTTGCTCCATGAGAAATTTTTTTTTTATATCAACAATTTGAACCATATAGATCGGAATTTTAATATAAGACAACTAATGAAGTAAGGATAACTGTAGTCAAATACGTTGACTGTAAAAGCTCGGCTCGCTTATGAAATGGGATCTACCGTGAACTAATTTAAATTAAATTTTTTTCTATAGATATAGATTTGTCTTCGAGCTTTGTGCATTTTTCCAGAATAAATCAATATACAGAAAAAAATAAAAWTAAAACAATTTCCACCCAATAAACCCAATAGATAGTTGGGAGTTCCATGGCTTCTAGATCAGAACCACTAAGTTAAATCGTTCATTGAATAGCTACTATTTTACTACTAGATTAAGTGTCTCAGTTGATTAGTGCGACAGAGATCAAGAGATCTCATTGAATAGGTTAAATAAACTCACGTTCCGTTGACCAGAGCTATGATATTCAAGATGTTTCTCAATTAAATTAACCAAAACTGAACTGTCGAGGAGAAAGTGTCGATATTAYTCTTTGACTAGCCTTTGGAGCCGGTTAAAAGTTTAGAGCCTAACCACAGGTTCTTATTTCGGATAACGTCTGCTTAAAATCCCTTTAACCGCAGAAAGCTCTGATGAAAGCATGTAGCTCAGTCGTCCGTCAGCGTTACACTATAGACTAGTTGGATCCCATACCAAACAAGTGTTGGTTGTTTGGAGCTCAAACAAATCCCAACCGTAATAGCCAAAAGTGACTAAAATCAAGAGTTTACGATATCTCGTTCTTCCTTTTCGCTTTTTGGCGCCAWTTGGAGATTGCGCGAATACTCTCAGAGCTAAGGTGGTTTCATACATTCAGACGACATGACCTAGCCACTGTCTCTTAATTCGCTGAATTATGTCAATATCGTCGTATACTCGTATCTCTTACAGCTTATCGTTCCATCGACTGCGCTGTACGCCGTCGCCAATGCGCAACGGACCAATAATCTTTTGCAGAACCTTTCTCTAGAAACTCGTTACCCTGATAATATCATAAGATTTTCTCATTGTCCATGTTTCTTATTTTCTCCCAAAGATTGAAGAATTCGCACGATTGAGAGTCGCCTTGTGTAAAACCTCGTTTTGTATCGAATTCTTCGGAGAGGTTCTTCCCGACCCCGGCAGAGCTGTTAGTATTGGTATATTTGGTATCAGCTGTGTATATTAGTTTTGCGGCGATATCAAATTCAGATACAAAGCAGCTTTGGAATCGACAAAGAGGTGGTGTGTGTCGATCCTCTTTTTTCTTTCTTTATTAGTAGTGCTTTTTAGGTGGCGGGTCCCAAACTCAGCACACGACCCGAAGTCCTGAGTTGCTTGAGCCATAGCTAAAAAAATYGTTTTTGGCTACTACCATGTGAATAGCGCTTCGAGAACTTTCCTTATTTACGCGGACTTCCATCCTCCTTCATATGCATGTATTACATACCTTATTTATAAAAAAAATTACTTCTTTTTAACACCCAAGCTTTATGCTCATGCAAYCGTACGCATACCAAGTTTTATCGGCAATTAGGCTTGCAAGTTTTCCTTCTCTGCACGCTCATTGCCACGTCGACTGTGAAGGTCGCCGYCGCCATTAAAGAATTACTCAGAAATGTATGCGTGTTTGCATAATGGGCCCCTGGCGAGCTGCTCGGAAACAAGTGTTCTGCGACATAAAATCATTTGTTGATAAACATGCGTGCTTATTATGATAAGCAAACGCATACAAAATCTGTTTGTGGACTCTTTGCGCACTAATTGGTACTTCACACTTATTTGATGACAAAATGCGTGCACATTGCTTTGTAGAATTTCTTTGTTTTAGTGCTTATGTAATCAAAAAGAGAGCATTCCAAGTAAATATTTCATCTTTAGTATGTTTAAAGGAACTAAGTAAATTTGTCCGCTACAACAACTGTTTAAGCTTATAATGAAAAAAATTTTTGAGTAAAGTTGTGCCCCTTTAATATTTTTCTTCGGAAAATATCTAGACAAACGAGCTATTGAAGGGTAAGTATAATAGCAAATAGGTTTAGGACGATTAACAGTTTCGAAAAATTTTAAAAGGACTTGTAATGTGGAAATTAAACTCGTCAGTCCTAAAAAAAAATTATATGTGAGATATTTTTGAATTTATTATTGATATATGATATTATTATCGAAAAAATTAATTCAAACCAATTAAGAAAAGGAATACATTGTAAGTATAAATATTCGATGTTATAAGACTAGCATCTATCTAAAAGAAAAATTATTGAAATTAATTCCGAATATGGAAAAATTAGCCGATTTCAAGACTTTTTTCTACAAAAACGACGAATTTAGTGCTCGAGATTGAGCATTTGATCCTTTGAATCAAATCAGAAGTTACTATTTTTTTTAATGGCGTGTGAGAGTATCACAACAGTCAAAAAAGGAGAAAAGGGGTAACCAAATTTAGGGTTATTATACAAAAACAAATAAATATCTTACACCTTTCTTCAACCGCTCCTAAATTAGCTAAGGTGCAAAATCTAAGGCGCAAAATCTAAGAGTTATCGTCCCATAATTCCGTCCTCTTCTTACGAATAGCTTCACGCAAATGAATCATAACTCCCAAGTAAGAAATACCATTTGACAACTTGGTCGGTCGGACGGAATTCGGAGTGCACCACACATCGATAACCGAAGAAAACTTTCAATATAACCTTAATTTTTGATCTGCTTTGACGAAGTTTTTTCGGCTTCGGCTCACCTTTGCCACGATATTTGACGGACTGATCGTCTGTTTCCGGATTCGAAGCATAGATCCAAGACCCATCGCCAGTAATAATATGTTTCATGAGATCCTGATAGTCGGAAAGCGTTAATTGTCAGACGTTAACGCGACGCTGGKTTTACGAAAAAACTATGATTGCCAATCATTTTCTGAAGCCGAACTTTTCTGAAGCCTAACTGATCTTTCAAAATAGTTTTCACTGATYCTTCCGATATTCCAACGATGCTAGTAGGATCTCTGACTGTTAATCGTCGATTCTCAGGCAGCAATTYCTTTATTTTATTGACGAGTTGATGTTGATGGTTCTCCTGGACGTGGTTTCATCGTCAATGTGTGCTTTTGACAAATGAATTTTCGCGCGAACCTTAATTAAGTCTTGCTTTTTTGAACAAAGGAGTAACATTTTATTTTCCTTACTCAAAGCTTTTGAAAACCGAACTAAATATTTTGCTGAATTCGTGTCACAACCGAATTAATTGTTTGTGAACACTAAGCATAATAACTCAGTTGGAAATTAGATGTGGCTATAGCATTGCACAATATATTAAAAGTAGAGAAAACATAATTTTTACCATTACAATAAATTAACAAAATCTCAATCAAGAATGGATGAGAGAATGAAACCCAACCTTGGAAATAGTTTTAAGATATACGTAGTTCAATACCTTCCAACATCATGATATGATAAAAATAATAGACTGTTCCATTGAATTCAATAGATTGTTCTTTATTAGTCTGCATCTCTCGGTGTATAAGTGCTATCAAGTTACATTATATGGGGYTAAAAATAATGGATCAACTGAAGCAATAAATCACCCATAAGATGAAATCGTTAGTGAATCGCCGAAGCGAACTTGAAGCTTCATATTCTTATGCTTTCAAATTATAGTCCAAACCAGTCACCAAGTGATTATTATCTGTTTTTTTTATATGGCTGACGATTTTGGAGGTGAAAAATCCCCTTCAGGAAATACTAGTGAATATTGATTTTTCCCAGTTTTTTTTTTTAACAATAAAGACGAGGAGTGCCTTTTAATGGCAACAACTTACCAAACAATTCAGTCCACATTTGTCCTAAATTGGATCATCCAAACCAGGTCAAATAAAACCAACAATTTTATGCAAAAATAATGGATTCCTGTTTACATGGCACAAGCTTCCCAACACTGTAAATTTTAAGTAAAACCCGCTAAACCAACAATTATTTTTATTTGAGCTCTCACAGTAATCCTTTTGGGAGAAATATCACATTTAATTACTCTCAGGTGCATTGCCAGCAGGCTTAATTGTATTTTTATTTACAAATTGAACGATTTACGTTACATAAATGATTTCAGAGGATTTCAGCGGGGACACATTAGGCGCTCACGCACATGAAAGCAAAATTCACTWCGTTTTAAGAACAACTATTATTTTTTAAAGGCAAGCCTTTTCGCTAACACTTACTCCCGCTCTCTCTCTCTCTCAACAGGTGGCACGCTCATTCCGACCGGACTTTGTGCTGATACGTCAACCACCACGTGACGGTTCCAATGACTATCGCTCGACCATTATCGGGCTCAAGTATGGCGGCGTGCCCAGCATTAATTCGTTGCACTCGATTTATCAATTTCAGGTGGGTAGCAAATGATGCAGATTGGTGTTAAATTTTTTTTACATATTTACTTATTTTACATTTTCCCTTGCAAAATATATATTTATAAAAGTAATATACTTTTTTCAGGATAAACCTTGGGTATTTGCTCATTTGCTGCAATTGCAACGTCGTTTGGGTCGCGACGCTTTTCCACTGATCGAGCAGACCTTCTTCCCCAATGCAAGGGATTTGGTAAGTCACTTCTCCCAAAATTCATTTTCAATAAAAWTCGAGTTTTTCCTATATTTTTACACATATAAACAAGTATTATTTGTGGCTTTATTACAATAAATACAAATAACAGTAAATAATATACATATTATGTACATACAATTAAAGCTCTAATTAAGTGAAGAAATACAGGGTAAAAGAGTAAGGGAGAGGTGAATCATAAAATGAAATTTCTCGTGCGGAAATGTMAACTTAAAATGTACTATTATAGTACGTATGTAGGTTGCCTTTTCTATTCATCTGTCTAGGAGTATTCAACCTACGAAAGTGAACCTAATTAGTGAAAAAAAATTAAAAAT